TAGATTAAACATCACTCTAATGTGAGATTAAGCAATCAAAATTCAAGAAAATACAAATTTTCAGTTTGAGCCAGTAATGTTATTTTGGTCATGTTCTATTTGTGAAGTTTCTTCTATTTTTCTTTCCTTGTTAATGTAAATATTTATGAATTACCCTATTGCACTTATAAATGAATACCATAAAACATAGCTGGTATGCAACATGGATTAGTTTAATGTTTCCAGGATAACTTCTGGAATTTCCTGATATTAGAGTGCTTGATCTTGTACCTTAACATTACATTCATTCTAGTTTTGTTTTACATTTAATCCTTAAAAAGTCTATATATGTATTCTGCTGATTTGGAGCAATCTGGCATCCTGCTTATTTTTTTTCCAGTATTTTAAAGAGAAAGGCCAAAGAAGGGTCAACTGTACAAAAAGTCTCCTTCAGTCTTAGAAGCTGACTAAGCTCAACCACAAAATAAACCACTGTAAAAATGAATTATGGGATAAGAATACCTTTGCATACATAGCTAGCTAGAAGGAACAGACTAGTCGCATAACAGCTAATAGATTTTAACCACAAAAGTTAAATACTAGCCTGCAGGCTCTGTTGATATAATTATTTTTAACACCTTTGAAAAATACTTTTTAGAATTCAAACAATCTCTTCCCCTAAATTACCAGAGCCATACCAAAAAATGTACCAAAAGGTCCTGGTCTTGCTGAACTTAAAGATGAAATGTATTTACTTCAACTGGAACAAACTTGGATGCTGATTTTTGTACGGATCCCAGTTTGGGAGTGGGCAGCAGGAAGTATCACCAGTAAATTTAGATTAGAGTTTAAAAAACATTCCTAATCTATCACACTATTATTATAAAGAAAGTTGGATTATTTCAATATGTTTTCTGGTAAAGAAATACATGCCTATTATCCTAGAGGCCTCAGCATTAAATATAAGAAATAAGAGTAAATTCTAGACTGATCTACTTCCTTCATTTTCTTAGCAGATTTATCAACTATAATTCAATTCCCAATTAAAAAAACAGTCATTTTACTGACTTTTTTTTAGATAAATTCCATACTTTATTAAAAGACAGAATACTTAAGAGTTTTCCCCTTTTATTTCTATATTGTTCTGAATGTTTCCTTTGGGTCTTGATAGACTCACAGAAGCTGTAACCTGTAGAGTTAACTCATGTGGTTATTTGTCAAAGTGCCTGCCATTTGGGGTGGGGGGGAGGGATGCTGCCCAGTTCTAGCCAGTTTACTACCTTTGACTTCAAGTTGTTATAAATGGAGTATATATAAGTGGAATATTGCCAATGATATCTTGCCTTCCTGCTCCTGGCTTTAACTGCACAGAAAAGACCCAGGTCCTGGTTATGCCAGTAGTATACTTGGGTTCTAATATGCAGACTCAGGGGTTCAGACAGACGCTACACATAATTCCAATTCACCACTGACCTGCCTCTTGGGAGGTCATTTACCCCAGGCCAAATGGTAGCCTTTAAACCCTCTTTTCACTTATGCATATTTCAGAGTAAACATGAAATCCAGAGTAAAAATGAATTGGGCTTTAATATGCTTGATTCTACTCTTACTATGCAAATCAGAGGGGAGTAACGCTGAGGAAGTCAGTGGAGTTATACCAAATTTAAATGCTATATGTAAGAGTTAAGGGGGACCTGTACCAGAGGAAATATTTCAGTGTATATAAAAATTACTTCTATTTCTATGTTTTCATGGTTTATAATAGAAATAATAAACTCTGGGTCAGGCATTTGTTGCAATTAGTGACTGGGTTAAGGGCCCTTGGCCTTACCTTGGGCTCTCAACTCCTCCAACCAGCCATTAATTGCCAGGAGTGCATGAACCCCTTGGTTATTATTGTTTAATTAAGTTATTAGGTTTGAAAAGCCTAAAAGAAAAAGGTTTTCTTGGTAGTAGATGAAGAGGGAATTCTATGCTCACTACAGCAAGTGATATGTTATGAACAAGTGTATTGATTTGAAATGTGCCTATCTTAAGTTCTGGAAAGTTGTACAAAATGATAACATGTTTTGCCAATAAACTAATAATGAACCATACATACTTGTCATCTTGACAGCCTGAACTTGCTTATAAACTGTTTTAACCCTTTAAAACTGTGGCTCCCAGTCTTTCTGGGCTTGTGGCCCCACATCTAGTTAGCCCTGAGGAGCTGAGATTCTGCTGTGCTATGGGTGCGCTTGTTTGGAGAGCATTTTGTGTCTTGCTCCTATAGTGCAGCAAAATTGCCTGCATTCTTAATGTCTCACTTTCTCCACATATGAGTAGAACTATGTGAATGCTGACCTTCCTCATACGAATTCTAATAAAAAGTAAGTGGGTGGTTTTTTGGATTATAATAGCAACTAGAAATCTTGCCTAAGATCAGGACTCCAATGTGCTAGGTGCTACACATATACATAAAAACAGTACTTATACACAGTACAGACAGAATAAATAAATGAGGCAGACAAAGGGTGGATGGAAGAATAGAAGGACAGAGAGGTGAAATGTTTTGCCTAGGGTCATTGACTGAGCCAAAAACCGGAGGCCAGTTCCCTACCTGCTAGGCCATACTGGATTCGAATTCTTAGTCCAATTTTTATATCCTTGCCTAAATAATGATGTAATTTATAACCTTCCCAGTGTGGTCAAAATTAATGACTAAGCCACTTTATTTCTGATGGATCAACAACTCATACTTGTCATGCCACCAAGTTTATTCAGCATCAAATGTGGCTCTAAGCTGGAAAAGGGTGAGGGATTCTCATTGCCTCACCCTCTTGCTCCTCTCAAATACATGCCACATTCTCATCTGCTGAGCACAGCATTAGAAATAGCATAGGCACATGGCTATATTCTTCCAGTATCAAGTAACAGCTCTTGCATGCTTGACTTAGGGAAGGAAATAACAAGAGAAAAGGGGAAATGAAAACAAGAAAAAAAAATCCCACATAAAAATAGGGAGAATGTTAGTGAAGTGGAGCTTATGATTCAGTTCTAACCGCAGCTCAAGGCCCTGACTTCTGAACAGGATGTGACCTAATGCTCCAGTGGTAGCTAATTACAAAAAAAAATTGCCTTTGCCATTTACAGAGAAAAATATCAGGTTTTTTCTATATTTTTTTTAAAAGAAAAGGCAGATGCACAGAAAATAACTATTTAGATGAAGGGTAAAGCAATCATTTCTGTAAGCAGAGGTATCACTTATTTTTATCTCACATTATTTTCTTTAAGTGGTCACGTTTTTCTGGGTCCTAAAAGTAGAGTTCTATTCTGAAAAGCAAATATTTCACTCAACAAATCCTCTCCATTTCTATATTTAGGAGTTAGAATTGTCTGTAACATTTAAGTTTTTACTGCCTGTTTTATTTCATTTAAATTAGCCCTTAGCACTCAACCAGTCTAAGAGGAAATAAACTGGATTCTAATCCTTCCTATGCTTTATCAATAACATTGCTTATTCCCACTTATTCACAATTCTGCAGCTCATATCAGGCAGTGAGGTTGCACAGGTGCAAGTGACAGACCTGTTCTCCATTGCTTAGTTCTGTAGCCTTGGGCACATGCTTTTGCCAAGTAAAAATGACTATACAAAGGGCAAAACAGTGAGGATTCAAACCTTAATAGCATAATTTGAGTGCATAACTGTCACAGTGGTCTGAATAGTAGAGTGTCCTGAAGAAACTTTATCACTGGAGAGGGTGATGAAGATGCAGATACTTGAAGCATTCGTTTGCCTAGTACAAGGATTATGTGTCAACAAAGTTGATGAACTGCCATCATAGATTGCATAGTAAAAAGAAAATGAATGGCAAGTATTTTCTGAAATACTTTCTAATCCTGTTTATTTGGGGGGCGGGGGTTGATGATTAAAAGTTTATACACTATAATTGCCTTTGAGGTTACAGGTATTGAAAGACATCCCCAGTTAACTGATCTCCAAATTCTTTATCTTTGTACTTTTCACTGACAGCCCAGCTTGCTAGATGCATTGAAACTGGGCCCTGATACTTCAAACATGCTTATGTATAACTTGAACTACACATTAAAGTTACACAAGTGTGTACATGTTTGCAAAACTGCAATTTATAACACTGAACTGAAAATAACCACTGAAATTAAATGCAAACTTAGGCTGCTGGCAGATGTTCAGTTAAAGGTGTGATGGGATCTGATCTGCAGTCCCAACAATTACGCCTCCAATCATGCTACATAAAGCAACCAGCATAGATCGGCTGACTGGTGCTTCCAGCCCCAGGAGCTCACAGGAGCTCTTTAAGATTCTGGTGTGCTCCTGAGACTGGGAGCACTGATCAGCTGATTGGCACTGGCCACATATTCAATTTAAGACACAATGGCCACCAGCTACAAAGTTATTATACATATTTTGTGTAACAACTTTGTGGCTTGTTCCCTGTTTAATCATGCAATTAATTTCATGAGCATATGGCAACATTCGTAGATGTTTGGGTCAGAAGGAACTTCAGTAGATTGAGTCCTGCCCCGGGCAGGAAAGAGCACTGGGGTTAGATGACCCCAGCCAGGCATGTCTAGCCTCCTTTTGAAGACCTCCAAGGTAGGGGAGAGCACCACCTCTCTTGGAAACCCATTCCAGGTTCTGGCAATCCTTACCATAAATAAGTTCTTCTTGATGTCTAACCTGAATATGCTCTCTGTCAGTTTGTGGCCGTTGTTCCTAGTTACTCCAGCGGGTGCCCTGGTAAACTTTACTACGTAAGATGCGACTAACTGGGGCCTTAGTGACTTAATAGCTAATGCTCATAAAAAGATAGGTAGGTTCTGTTTTTGGTTTGTTTGTTTTTTTGTTTTTGTTTCTTTTTCCTATTCCTATACACTCTTGCTAGAGAATTAAAAAAAATACTGTATTTTTTCCACATACAATACACACCTTACCCCCCAAAATTGGGTTTCATGTATTTCATGCAGGAAAATTTATTTTCTTTGCTGGAAAAGAAGCATACCTGGAGACATTGTGGATACCATCCAACTGCCATGATAGCTGCCTCTTGTCTGGCTCAGCAAGCTGAAAAGGTAGAGTCCTGTTATCCCTCTCACAGCCATACCTTTGCTGCCTGAAGCAGTAAGTGAGCTGCTGGTAGTATCTTGATGAGGTTTGTAATGTGGAATCAACACTTTATTTACAGGAACTTATATAAAGAACACCTTGTTTACAGGAATATATAACTACTTACAGTAAAGAACTAACAGCCTTGCTACTGCCCTTTGTAAGGGTCTGGAACCTAAGCTTGTGTGACAGAATAAGTTCTCCTGGGTACATAAAGTGTCTAAGAAGTGTGCCATCCTAGGGGACAATTTGGGTGAGGCAACAGGTAGGAGGAACTTCCTGGTGTGCCTGCTGCTTCACCTAGTCTGTATTCTATCATGCTACACTTCCTGGACCCTCTGTCACACAGTCAGCCACAACTGGAAAACTTTTTTTTTGTTCATTTGTTTTTTACATTCTACCTTTGAAAAACAAGATACTTGTTCTTTTTGGGGGCATGCTATACGTAAGAAAATATGGTATTTATGTTTCTGTCCATCAGAATCCTTGTCCTTTAGGTGCAAGGTCATCTTTCCAGATAGTTAAGATTCTTTTGAAAACTGAAGGTAATTGCAGTAGACAAACATCAAGTAGACTTGGAAACAAATTGGATCGAATGATGGCTTAAATGATGGAGATAACCAACTCTCCCTAGCACTATTACTCCCTTGTTTCTCACTGTAACATATGCATGCATTACGTATCTAAATAAATAATCATTTCCACTTAACTCTTTTTATTGGCTGTATAAATAAAGATATGAAGGTAAGTTGAAGCAAAGACAACCTCAACAACCAAGTTAAACTTGAGAGAAGCTATTGCCACTTCAGTTACACTAAGCCTAGAAAAAATAGTGATGATTACAAGCATGACAACTCCACATGTATAGAGTTCTCAAAGTTTCCGCTCCCAGTAGTCTTTGAACAGCTCTGAAGTGTCACTCACCCCTATGTAGATCTAAGATTCTTATACAGGTCCCATTACCATAACATTTGTGCACCTCACAATCTTTAATGCATTTATCTTCACAGCACTGGAGATGAGGAAGGAAAATGCTGTCCTCCTTGTATTTCAAAGAGGAGGAACTGAGACAAAGAAAGAATGGATTAGATCTACAGAGGAATTGGGCATTGTGACACTGAGCATTTCAGTGCCTAAAGTGAAATCCAGAGCCCTGAGTTAAGCACATAGGCTCTATGGCAAATGCATGGGAAGAGTTAGTAGTCTCAAAATGACATTCATAATGGCTAGTATGTGAGTGGGGAGCTATCTATGCTAGCTAGCCTACCCTTTTTAAGGGATTAGACATCCAACTCTGGACTGGGAGGAAATGTGAATGGCAGATCAGAATTCGTAGCCCCAACCCCTTCTTTTGGATATAGCCAATATCATTCTTTCTTTCAAAAACACAATGGTTGGTAGTACCCCTCTTTTATTCAGTAATACAGTGGTTAGAGCATTTACTCAGACCTGGTCATACAGGACATCTGTTGCAAACTTTCCTAGCAACTTAACAATTTGTACCTTTGAAGACCTCCCAAGAGGTAACAGCATGAAGCTTAGAAACTACTTTTTAAGCCCCCAGCATAGGGTTTCCCAGTACAGCCCAAACCTTGTTGAGTGTAAACTTTGGGGACAACTGCCACACTGAAGAGGATGTAGGTTATTGGGGGGCACCTTTACATGTGCAGTGAGGCTGTTCCCACGTGCTATAATTACAGCTTGTTGGAGCAGACTTGATTAACTGAGTCACTCCATTCACTTTAGTTAGAGTGGTTCTTGGAGCAGCTCTAATTAAAGTTCCCCTCCCCCCCGCAACTCCCAGAGCACATCTATAAATGCCCTGGATGTGCAATTGTCCCACAGACCCAGAAGGCATACAAAATCAAATTCTGTTCTTAATTATGCTAGTGCAAATCCAAAGTGACTCCACTGCAGTCAGAATCAGGCCTGTTATGCATTTCACTTCTTTTGTTATTCCCATGGTTAGAGCCACAATGCATTTCATACATTAGAAATGGTTTGGTGCATAGTGGTTTTATAAAACATGCTCTATCTCTGTCTAAATGAGAAAAATAAATATCTAGGGAGCTTTTGCACATGTCAACAGTACTCAGTGAAGCAATATGTGTAGGCAGCACTGGAAACAGTGACAAAGTGAGTATCTGTGCATAACTTGGTAATAATATCATCACCGTCTAGACAAGTCAACAATTAGCATCCAGACATACCGAAGCCTTCTTTAAGTAGTCTCCAACAATAAAAAAGGCCTCTGTGGGGAAGAAAGCCACAATTCTCTCTCTGATACCTTGTGCATACATTTTTAAGTTTAATTTTGTTTAAAAGGCTGCTTTCTAAATTGAATGTCACTTTCAAAGCCACTGCTGAGCACATGTTTACAAAACTGCAATTTTTGATGAAGATCTTCCTGTTAAAACATCTGTTTTAATATTCTCTGTGTACAGCAGTTGCTAGGCAAAACTCTGTTTGATATGATAATTCCCATACACTTCCCCTGCTGCTTCTCCTTTTTTAAAATTTTTCATTTTTTTTTATTTACTTAGAAAAAAACCATCCTCAAAACTGTGCTAAAGTTAGGTAAAATTCCACGTTAATGAAGAAGTACCCTGTACTAGGGGCATAACTAGGAAATTTTCTGTGGTGAGCAGCCTGGTCATCATTGCTGCCATTCTTGTACCCTCTCTCAGTTGGTGCCCAGGGCTGGTGTCTTACTTACCCACATTTAGGTGCCCTACTGTTCTGCATAGGGCTGTGACTTAAAGATCTGAATGAGGTCTCACTCACAAGAGTTGTTATGCTGTTGAGCCCAATTCTGTGAGAACACTTATGCTGCTGTAAATCAGTACTTGAAATCAGGTATTAACAACAGTAGAATTACATTGGCATAAACCCAGTGTCTAGCCGAATCATGCCATAAGTTTTGACTCAGGAAAAACAGCAATTGACTTTAATGAACATTTTGCTTGAGTAGGGGGTGGGTAGTAGGACTAGGTCCCAGGGGCAGCTGTGACACCCTCTGGTGACCACATGGCTCTTGCATCACTCCAGCTCCCTGGGGTACCCTCTCTTTTTCTTGTGCCTGCCAAACCTTGATGGAGTTATTGTCTGTTGTAGAAGGGAAGCTGCCCCAGGGTTCCTTAGTGAATCTTAGCCTGCTTTGGGCCAGTGGGTATCTCCTGTTGATCTCCAGTCCTGCCCCATCAGCACCTCAGGGCACCAGTCACCTTAAGAGCTATTCGTGGTCTCCTGCTACCCCTACAGCCATACCCACGCCTCACAGATGTTACACTTGCCAGTTACTCCCATGTATAAGCTTCAGACTTCTTAGCCTTAGCCTACAGGTTACTCTGGCTATAGACAGATAGCCTAGGCCATCTGGCCTGGCCTTTTAGTCTCGGCCTCTCAAAGGCCCCTGGCTCCCTCTGTTGCTCCTCTGGGTTCAGGCCCTGGCCTTCTGGGCCTCAGCCTGTCTATGCTTTGCACCCCTTCCCCTGGAAGAGCTCAATAACATGCCCATCAGGCACCCCTATGGTCTCCTTTCCTCCTCTATCAGACCCACCCAGTCAGCTGGAATAAACTAGAACAAAAATCCAAATAACTACTTCAAACTCCTGGGTCATCATACTACTGTCAAGCCCCCTTTCCTTTCTGTGGCTCCCTCAGCCTTGTAAGTACCTGCCATCACTTTCTCTTACTCCCTACCAGCCCGAGCTGACCAGATCTCCTCTCTCAGATGAGTTCAGGGCTGAACTGCTCTTCTGTCTCAGGGGCCCAGGTGTATATATCTTGGCTCCTCCCCTTTTGCTCAGGTGACATGCCACAGGTGTACCCCCTCCACTTCCTGGACTGCTTACCGCTAGCACCCTTGCTGCTGAACTAGAGCTCTGCCCTATTCTTCTACTGCTAGGCAGCTAGCCCCACAATAAGCATTTGCTGCCTATGGGTCCCTGGCTTTCTACTCTCCTGCAGCTAGCCCATAATGTGCAGTCTTCCCCCACCTGTGGACATCCCTCTTGCTGCTTCTCATTTAAAGTAACAGGAGCCCCTGGTCCCTGTTACAGAGTGACTAAGGAGAGTGGGCACGATCCTCCAACTACCTAACCATCCTCCCCACAACACAGGCAAGACCATGGACCATACTGTCCAAAATCAGGGCTTATTTTCCTCTCCTTTTTTATTAATCTCAGAGCAAACCAGAGTGCATTTCAAGAGATCTCAGAGCCATGTGGCTCCATTTTTGGATGCTGGCTTCACAACCTGCCTTAAAAGAGTGTGGCCGGACTACAGGCTGAGCAGCTCTGTGCAAAAGTTAATGCAGCTTGAGATGCAAGTTATGCCCCTTTTCTATTTGCAGAGACAGGGAAGAAATAGTGTGTGATAACAGATGATGTCAGCAGCCTCTTCTTTCAGCAACAGGGAGAGACGAAGTTTAAAACAACTGTTTCTTAAGTGGAGTGCATGGAAGCCAAGACATAAACGGATGACTCCAGTAATCACTACCTCCACGCTCTTTTCTAGGATGGACTATACTGAAGAACACTCACGACTCTAAGATGCATTTTAACCTCTTTGTATATTTAGAGGCAGGAAGACCAAAAATGTTGTTTCTGAAATCTCTGCCTTGCTTTTGAAGGTCTACTGTAGCCAGGCTTGCCTGTATTATGAACTACTGTAGTTTTGCTTCATGTCCACACTAATGTTGTTCTCGCAAGAGTCTCTGAGGGTGTGAGAAAAGTAGCTGGAACTTGAGGGGGCAGTAGTGGAAGTAGTGCTTTCCATCCTGACATGGGTTCTGGATGAAGTTGTTCAGAGTTAACTAGTATTTAACTCTGCTGAAAATAAATCGAATCTGGGCAGTATTTGGCAAATAATGGACACGATGAATTTTTCAATCATAGTGATTTGCCCCCCTGGTTCTTTGCGAAAATCTAGTGTAGAAAAGTCCTAAAAGTGAGAATCTG